TACATCTTTGAGCATGTTGTTTATTTCCTTTTGTTGACACTCTAGGGGTAGAATTACTGGGTTGAACTTTATATATAATTCAAAGACATTTGAAATGTTTTGCCAATTTTTTTTCAAAGATGGACAGTATATCCTACTAGGCTTCTATTATGAAATTGCCCATTTTGCTGTTCCCTTGTTAGTTCTAACACGTATTCCTTCAGATATTAATGAAGTAGACCATTTCACCCATATTTCTTGGTCATTTTAATTAACTCTATATGAATTTTGTCCATTTGTTCAGTGGTATCTTTGATTTTCACTAGTTCTTTAAATAGTCATCACTACTGCATGATGTTACTATCAATGACAGACCACATATCCAGCGGTGGTCCCATAAGATTACATCACCTGTTGACATTTGTAGCTTTCTTAGTTTGGACAAGTAGATTTTATGATGTTCATGTAAGGAGGAAATTACCTAAATATGCATTTCTTAGGCTATATCCTGCCATTAATCAACAAATGACTATAGTAAGAATATTAACTCTTGGTTTTACCAATATTCTACAAATAATTTCCCCTTATGATATTTGAAGTGGTTGTGCTATTGAGAAATATTTAACTTTTTTTTTTTTAATATTTATTTTTTAGTTCTCGGCGGACACAACATCTTTGTTGGTATGTGGTGCTGAGGATCGAACCCGGGCCGCACGCATGCCAGGCGAGCGCGCTACCGCTTAAGCCACATCCCCAGCCCTGAGAAATATTTAACTTTTAAAAACTTTAAAATTATAAACATTTTTGTTGTCATGTTAAAGAGGACTGCTTACTCAGGAATACATTTTTATCTTCTCATGAAGTTTAAATTTTTTACTTGCGTTTTTAATCTATTGTAGATACATTTCCATAAGGTATTGCCTGACGTGTCTCACTCTTTCTAAAATTACTCTTTCTTGTCCAATGTTAGGTGTCACCTTTCTTTCCTTTCTGTTAATATGTATATTCTTGATCCCACTCTAAACTTAATCATTATTTTGATTTTATAATGTACTTTATTAGGAGGATCTTCTTCTTTTTCGTAAATATTTTTAAATCACTTTTTCCCCATGTCCCAATTCTGAGTGTACTCCGTTGAGATTAAAAAGTGAATTTGTGACAATCCTTGTGGAATCAACTTCTGTATGATAGAGTGCCTCCTTCCTCTACTCAACAAAGTTGAAGACACTTCCTTTTGGCCAATTCTTTGGTCATATCCCTCAGAAAAGCCTCTCAACCATGATCCAGAGTTATTTGGATAGCGTGTTTCAGTTTTCTCCCAGCCTACCTAATTGGGCCCTATTTGTACCAGGCTTTGGACAAGATACAGATTCATTTCTTTTAGGATTGGGAGTTAAGAATGAGGAGGAAAAGACATCCCATACTTTGGCTTTTCACCTTGGTCAAGAATATGTGGTTTTTAGGAATGTTCTCTCCAAGTGGATATGAATTTAGTTTGAATGGCTTTTCCTTCCTGGATTCTAGCTGCTTAGCTCGTGGTTAGAGAGGATTCTGGAGGTAGAGGGATGGGATCCAAGGACACTACTGCTCAGGGTGCTGTTTGTCAATTATCATAGCGACCTACAGCCAGGCTCAGGGAACTTGAAGTGCTCCTCTGATTCTTGAAACCCTCTGAAGCAGTTTCAAGAATCAGGGCTCATTCCTTTTTTTTTTGGCCTAGTTACACTCAGAGGTGTGTGGCAACCATTTACTATCAGCTGCTTATCTGTCTTTGGAAGATAAGCTTAGTAAACTGTAGCATGCTTTTGGCTAGATCTTGCTGCTCATTACAAAATTATCCGATTAAACCAAAATATATTTAATATTTGTATTTTAAACATGTCTGTTATGAACTTTATACTTTCCCCCCAAAAAGGAGTTAATAGAATGAGATTCTCTGGGAGAATTGGCTCACACAGGCTTGTGCTGCGTGAGGCCCCCAGGCACTCCCCCTCTTTTTCAAGGTCAGGTGACCTCAGACAACCTCAGGACACTTAGTCAGAAAAATCTGACCGCTGTTTTTAAATGCAGTACTAGATGTTGCCTGTCAAGACTGTTTTAAAGTATGTTTTTCAGCCTGTTGGGAATGTGTTTTTTTCTATTATATTTCTAAATCACTGTCCTTATTTTCTCCTATGCTTTCCAGTCAAGCATGTAAGTAGGAAAATCATTTGGAACCTTTTAAAAAAATTAATGGGGTTTTGACCTCTTCCCTCCGTGATTCAATGTTGTCTGGGGTTGGGCAAGGGGCTAGTTATCCTGGGTATGTGAATCATTTTTTCAGAAGCTTCTCACTTTCAATTTGAGAGGCTGGCCTTTGGTTTCCAAATACAGGTATCCTATGGAGGAGGCATTCTTTTATTTTTTATCTCAATGTCAGTGCCTCTCAGTTTTAACTATGTGTGAATCAAAGATTTAACTTAGAAGGTGTTGGGTGTTTAAACCCTGGACCTCATAAAGACACTGGCTCTTGACTGTCTCCTGGGAGATGACTTACTGGTCTTGGAAACATCCTGCCTTATTAGAATGTCTTTGTATACCTGGAGCCTGAGCCATGTCACATAATGTATGCTAAGGATGTGATATAGTGGGATCCTTGACCTCTGGAGGCACTGGAGACTGAGTAATTAAAGTCAGCCACACAGGCTCTCCATGCCTAGTAATGGCCCTGGTCACAAAGTCTCAGGTGAACTTCTCTGTTTGGCGGTACTTCCTACACTGTCCACATTGTCACAAAGCAGATCAAGCACTTCTGTCCCACTGCACTGGGAGATGTGGGAGATGACCACTGACGGCTCCTGCCTGTCTCTCCCGCATTCTGTCTTTTGTCTTTGCTTATTTTAATGTGTCCTCTCATTGTAATGCGTCATAACTAGCAGAAGAGGTTTACCAAGTTCTTTTGAGTTCTAGGAAATCATTGAATCTGAGTGTTCTTGGGTACCCCAACTTGGGATAAGAGCTCTTTATTTAAGAATACTTAGAGAAGGGAACAGATTATTTCTTCTCTCTTTCCTAGGCCATTTTTAAAGAAAATGTGTATTGGTAGCTAAAGTTTGTCAAATGCATTATAACTTCTTAAGATATTTACTTGATTTTATTGCTGTGAGAAAATATTTTTTTTCTTGACATCACTCATACTTGATTTCGCTGCATTTTTCTACAAACATTAAATTTTTAAAAATTGGTGCATTATACCTAAAACTGGAATTTCCTGTGATGTGTTCATACATGCACATGACATAGTTTGGTTAATTTCATCCTGTGCTGTTTTTGATCTACTATCATGTTATGAGTGGTTAGTATTTCATCTTTATAATATATGGACAAATCTTATAAATGCTGTGATTAAAAAAATTAAGCAACCATTCTAATATATGGTACTTCCTGTGTCCTTAAACAGAACACTCTTTCCAGCATAACATTTTCTTAACTACCCCCATTTTGAACATTGTAGTATGCAGCAGGCCCTGGGGCCCCATTGAGGCAGCTTCTCTGTTAAATGCTCCCCTGTCTGCTCTCAGCTTGGAGTTCTGGGATTGCTTTGTTTGTTTCCCCCTATGCTTTAGTCCTGTTTCTTGTAACTCTCAGGTTGTTTTTCTTTAATAGTCCCTCTCCTCCCTTTTTTTGGCTCCTTTTTAATGGCTGTGGGCTTAGAGGCTGTATAATTAAGCTTGTTAGATAATAATTTCCAAAATGAGAGTAAATAAGCTCTGAGTAAGAGCCCGGGGCCCTGTTCTCTAGATGAAAAGCATCTGTTTCATTTGTAGGATTTTTAAATATCCATTTTGTATTTTTAGAGAGTCCTCCCCAAGCCCTCTATTCCCTGCTTTTTAGTTGTTGGCTACTCCAGAGAAATAAGTCATAAAGTTGATTGGTTAGTTTTGTTTTTTCATCCATTCACTCACTCATTTGATGCTTATTTACTGAGTATCTATACAGTGCTGTTCACTGGATCACTGGATTTAAATAGGTAAGATGTATACAAAGCAGCCTCTTGCTTAGCAAAGAACATGGGAGAACAGTCTGCATTTTTGTTGTAGAAACTTTTGATGAAGGCATTTTGAGTTTTATTTTCTTTGGTAATATGTTTTAATTTGATAAAATTGTTTTAATTTGGTCAGACTTTAAAAGTATTAATTGTAAGAGTGTTCTGCAGAAGAGTTAACATACCCAGCCTGAGACCGCTAACCACATAAAGCTATCCACATAAAGCTGGGCATCTTGGAAGATGGCTCTCAGAGTGTTCCTAGGCCATATTTAGCTGATAAGTGTAGTTTGATGTGTCTGGATGGGGCACAGGACCTGACTGTGCTGAACCTCTGCTTTCCTTCTGGGAGTCTGGAATTTTGAGACGTGTCAGAGGTTGGCTGTGTGAGCAAACCCTCATAAAAACTGTGGCCACTGAGTCTCTCATCTGCTTCCCTAGGCAGAAACATCACACACATACTACATTTTTCAATGCTTGGGGAAAATTTGTGCTGAGTGTAGCCCCTCATGGGAAGGTGGGGTCTGGCGGAAACAGAACTTGCTTACATGAGAGAGAGCAAGCACTTGCATACTCTCAGTCCACAGAGAAACTTGCATATGGAATCCTTCCCTTGTGATTCAGCTGTGTGTCCTTACTGTGTTGTATGCTACATCTTAGCCATGAGTGCAACTATGTGTTGTGTGCCAGGAGACCTCTAGTGAATTTTGAAATGTGAGGGTACTCTGTATTCACAGGCTTAGTGCTAGATGATCTGAAGGAATATTCCTGACAACCGTCTTCTGTGAAGTAGGTCAGTGTCATTACCATTGGGAAGTGAAGTCTGTGGAAGCTTTCTGAGGTTGAGTAACCTGTATGTCCTATAGCTCATAATTTTATATCTATTTTTCTCAGATGTTTGTACCTTATGGTCTCTCTTTTTTTTTTCCTGTTGTTTAAATGGGGCATTTAAGTGAGGGAAACTACTGAGTGTTTTTTAATGCCTTTGTCACTTCAGGTATGAGCACATCCTCATGGAGCCAGACCCAGTACCAGCGTATGCTCTCAAACTGCTGGTCGCGATGACTGAACACAACCCGACTTTTACCAGGTACTGTAACTTCAAATCTCTTGGTCTTGTTTCTCATCTATAAAATGTGTTTTATGTGATCTGGAAATGTTGTTACAGATGATGAGATTCTAAAATACCAACATTTGAGCTGCCAAAGTGGTACTTTTTCATATTTCCTGGTTTGTACTATCTGTCATGTATGCTGTGCTGGCTCTTGTGCTCAAATTTTTAATCCTTTACCTGAGTTTGCATCCTGTAAAGTGCATGATGCTTTCAAAATGATAAATTCTTTAAAGGGAAAAAACTATTACATATAGTTTTAGAAAATTGGTGCCACATTTTTCATTGAATATTGTTAAATCTCAGTAGTATTTATTGACTCTTAGTTGCTACCATTTTATTCAATTGACATACTATTCTTTAAGTGGTGGGGAAATTTTGCTGTTATTGAATATACTGAATAATGCCAGATTGCATTAGCACTGGTTGCTAGAATACTTTTAGTTTTGCCAGGCATAGTTCATCTGAGAATACCTAGGGCCACAGAAGGGAAACACAGGAGGAAGTTTCCCTTGCTTTCAAACAAGAAAACAATTAGTGTTGGGCAGGTGATATCTGAGGTCTTTCTGGGCTTTGAATACCATCCATAGGAGCAGGGCCTCCAGAGTCACCGGTTCATTTTAAATAAAGAGTTAAATCACACGTTTCCAACCACCTGTGTTTTTTCTTGTCCGCTGTCTAATCACAGAAATGCTACATTATAATGCATTACCATTTACTTGCTACTAGTAAATAAGAAAGGCTTTTCTACTTTAGAGAGTGGAAAGCTGGGTGTGTGGGAGTACCTGTGTGTGCCATGAGTCACCATTGCCACATGTTCTTGGTCTTGTCCATGATGCTGGGGCTGTCCAGCTTGCAGTCTGGCTACCTTCCTTTATCCATTTCCCGAAGGTGCCATACAAATACTACCTGGTCCTCTCTGGGTGGTGTTGCAAAAGAACTCGGGGAGCACAATGAAAACTCCATGTTCCTGAAGCCTTTTAGAGTCTTCCAAAAGGTGCTGGCCATGGAACTCCCAAGTTCCTCACTTGGAAAGCACCATTTTCTCTTCCTAAAGAATTAGTTAATTCTAAAGAGTAAATCTGTCTTAGAAGTTGAATAGAAAGTCAGATAGTTTCTTCTTTCCTAGGCATTTGACATCAAGTACTAATGCTGTATGCTAATTTTATCTTCTCATGAGATTGAACAGATTGCATTTACTTTTTTAATGTCGACTTTAGCTCATTCCTGTGACATGTTTTCTGTACGCCTTTTCCTTCTTGCCAACTCTATTAATTCAGTTAAATTTCCTCATGTTGGTGCTTGAGGAGAATTCTAGAGAAGTAGAAACAGGTAATTGATAGCTTCTATAAAACCATTTTTATTTTAAAAATGATCATAAAATAAGCTTAAAAATTAATTTACTCTAGTTTTTATTCCCTAAGCAGAGTTTACAAACAGAATTCAGTGGGCTAATTTATATTTTTGTTTTATTTGAGCAAGTAGTGTTTTCATATGTTGTCTTTCTCTTAAATTCGAAAAGTAGGAATCCGGAGATTTCCTGGGTTTTCCTATCTCAACCCCCCTGTCCCCCAACTGCCTCTTACACTTCTCTTCCCTTAAGGTTGATGTTGTTACTGTTTTAGTGTGTGCTTCCTAAACAATGTCGCACTACTTAAATTATATGTATAAATATATATATACACACACATACTCTGCAATGCTTTTTTAAAAAATATTTATTTTTTAGTTGTAGTTGGACACAATACCTTAATTAATTAATTAATTAATTAATATGTGGTGCTGAGACTCGAACCCAGGGCCTCGAATGTGGTAGGCAAACACTCTACAGCTGAGCCACAACCCCAGCCCCATCTGAAATGCTTTTAATGCAAGTGTTTATTTGTATTCTTGCTAACTAGTAAATAAAAATGGAACTTCCTTTTATTTTGCATTCCCCTGACTGTTCTCTTAATGTTTATTCACTGTGTCTAATTAAAGTGTAAAAGGTGAATAACCTTCAAACTTCAGTTCTACTTCTAAGAATCTGTTCTACAGGAAAACTCCCATGTGCACAAAGATTTCTCTTGAGGCAAATTTTTTTCCAGTACTAGGGATCAAATCCAGGGGTGCTTTACTATAGCTACATCCCCTAAGACCTTTTATTTTTGTTTAATTTTGAGATAGTCTTGTTAATTTGCTCAGGGTGGCCTTGAAATTGTGATCTTTTTACCCCAAATAGCTGGGTTATAAGCATATACCACCATGCCCAGTCTGAGGCAAATAATTTTTAAAATGTGAAAATTTTATATGATCTATATAATTTTATATGAATATAAATTGAATTATGTAATTATAATATAGAATACAATATAACTATTTAAAAGAGCAACATGTAGAGAGCTTCCACATTGTACTTTATAGTGGTGAGATTTTACCTTGTGTGTCTATATCATACTTTATCTAATTAGGTTGTAATGAATAGACTTATTACTAATCTTGTGATATTGCAAACAGTGAATAATGTTATATATACATACACTGAACTCTAAAGAGATGGCTACTATTAATTTGTGTGTGTATTATTTTTCACATAGATGGTAGCATGCCGACTACCCTGTTTTTCACCTTTTTAAAAACTATAGCTATGTCCCCTAAGCTTTATTGGAAGGTATTTTATAATTTTTCCTCTTTTAAGATATAATATTGCATTTTATGAATATTCCATATTGATTTAACAAGTCCTCTTTTGGAGAATATTTATTTTTTCTAATCTCTTGATAAATTAATGACATAGGTTACATGTGTGGATATATGTAGGGTAAATGATTAGAAGTGGAATTGCTTCAACAGTTGTACAATATTTGTACATTAGTGTCACCTGGGAATTTGTTAAAATTTCTAAAGCCCTGGTCTTTTCTGGCCAATAAAATCATGATCTCTAGGACTAAACAACAATTGCTCATTTTTCCTAGATGATTAAATACACAAATACCATTGAGAACCTCTAGAATGAGCATTTCTAATTTTGAAAGATGTTTTGAAATTGTCCCTAGTCTAATTTGTGCCAATTTCCTGTTCTGTTCACTATGTATATAAGAGTGGCAGTTTGTGTGAAACCTGTATCAAATTAGTGTACATGACTTTTGTCATTTTGATATATGAAAATTGAGTCTTTAATATTCACTTCTAGTTTATTGTATCCTGATTATCACTGTATAATATTTTTCTTCCATTTCTGGTTTGTATCTACTTTTATTTATATACTAATATATGGTCAGTTTTATAAATTTTCCATATTTGCTTACTGTAACCAAAACAAAATAGTCCAGTGCTGAGAACTATCACCCTTATTTTGGCAAGGATCTAAAATGCTAACTCATCTCATTTATTGATTCTTGATTTTATTTCTTGCTCTATAGGAGTCTTATTAAGGAAGTTGGGGACTAATCCGACATGATGAAGATTTGGGCCTACTTTTTCTTCCTCTAGGCACAGGGTCTCTGGTTTAAATCCTGGGTCCTTGATCCATTTTGAGTTGAGTTTTGAGCATGATGAGAGAGATGGGTTAATTTCATTTTGCTGCATATGGGTTTCCAATTTTGCCAGTACCATTTATTGAAGAGGCTATCTTTTCTCCAGTATGTTTTTGGCACCTTTGGCTAATATGAGATAATTGTATTTATGTGGATTTGTCTTTGTGTCCTCTACTCTGTACCATTGGTATACAAGTCGATTTTGTTCCCAGTACCATGCTGTTTTTGTTACTATTGCTCTGTAATATAATTTAAGGGCTGGTATAGTGATGCTACCTGCTTCACTCTTCTTGCTTTGATTATTCTGGGTCTCTTATTTTTTCAGCTGAATTTCATGATTACCTTTCTATTTCTATGAGTAATGTCATTGGGATTTTGGCTGGAATTGCATTAAATCTGGGTAGTGCTTTTGGTAGTATGGTCATTTTGACAATAATAATTCTGCATATCCAAGAACAAGGAAGATATTTCCACTTCTAAGGTCATCTTTAATTTCTTTCTTTAATGTTCTGTAGTCAGGGAGGTGAATAGAGAGCCTACAGAATTGGAGCAAATTTTTACCACACACCCATCAGATAGAGCACTAATCTGTAGGATATATAAAAAACTCAAAAAAAACTCAACATCAAAAAATCCAATCAATAAAAGGGACAAGGAACTGAACAGATATTTCTCAGATGGTGATATACAATCAATCAACAAATATATGAAAAAATGTTCAACATCTCTAGCAAGCCGAGAAATGCAAATCAAAACTACTCTGATTTCATCTCACTCTAGTCAAAATGGCAGCTACTAAGAACACAAATAACAGTAAGTGTTGGCGAGGATGTGGGGAAAAAGGCATACTCATACATTGGCTGCACCAATTTGCAGTCCCATCAGCAATCTGGAAAGCAATATGGAGATTCCTTGAAAAACTGGGAATGGAACCACTGTTTGACCCAGCTATCCTACTCCTCGCTCTATACCCCAAAGACTTAAACACAGCATACTACGGGAACACAGCCACATGGATGTTTATAGCAGCACAATTCACAATAGCTAAACTGTGGAATCAACCTAGATGCCCCTCAATAAATAAGTGGATAAAGAAAATGTGCTGTATATACACAATAGAATATTACTCAGCAATAAAAGAACATAAAATCATGACATTTGCAGGTAAATGGATGGAGTTGGAGAATATAATGCTAAGTGAAGTTAGTCAACCCCCTAAAACCAAATGCTGAATATTTTCTCTGATATAAGGTGGCTGATTCATAGTGGGGTTGGAAGAGGGAGCATGAGAAGATTAGATGAACTCTAGATGGGGAAAAGTGTTGGGAGGGGAAGGGAGGGGGCTTGGGGGTAGAAATGATGGTGGAATGAGATAGACATCATTACTCTAAGTACATATGTGAAGACAACATATGTACTCTAAGTATATATGTTGTGCACAACCAGAGACATGAAAAATTTTGT